TATAGTTGATGCAACGAATAACCGCTTCTATAATTTCAGCCTCTTTGTAACCTTTAGCGGTTCCACTCTCGATTTGGCGCATGAGGCCAACATAAGAGAGTTTGTCTTTTTCTCCTCCAATGGAACCCACGATTTTAAATTCACGTCTCAGTATAGAATCGGTATTCGACATGTTATTAGACGTATTACTCACGGTTTCTTGCTCGGCGACATTCTTCGACTGTGTAATTGATGATAGCTTCGCCGTAGCCTCGTCAATCTGCTTCTGTTGAAGTTCCAAGGTCTTTTTGAATTCATCTTGCATACGTTGTAGCTCGTCTTTGGCTTGTGCGTATTCATCGACTTGTGCCGCTTCGGTGTTAGGTGTTCCAATAAACTCCAGAATGTCTGTTACCACTGACAATTTATCCTCCGCACTGTCTATTCTTTCTTCTAATTTACGTCGGACGTGTCGAAGAACCTTTAGCTTACCATCTCCGTCCACGACAAGCTCGAGATGTGTGGCAAGTTCTTGTAAACGCTCAAGAGAAAGATCCACAATCTTTTGTTCCATTGTCAATTGGCGCGATTCAAGGTCCATCTCTGCCATCGTCTGAGCCCCCAAATTATGTTATAGCCTTCAAATTGCACGATTCCGAAGTTGATAACAATTTTATTAATCTTTCTTCTGAGTACTTGTCCACGACAATCTTTACAAGCTTCTTGTCCGACTTATCTCTTGCTAATCCTATATCATACGTCATACATGACGACAAACTTGAGGTCATCACACATCATTTGTTTATTTATGCACTAGTCAATTGAAACCCCCGACCCCCGACCCCCGGGGCTAGCGGGGCACTGAACGGGGACGTGACGCGTTTTTAACGTGCTTTTAACAGCAAGATTGCCCCCCGGAGTTCGGGATTTTGATAAACTGTTTTCAAAGCGGAGCAAAAAACGGGGATTTTAAAGCGCGTTTGAACATGTATGAGGCTGAAAACTACCTTGAATGAAAAATTAAAAAAAAATCTTATTAGACATGTTTTTCTTCGTCCAGTTAGCCTCATGTAGTACGCACATAAGTACACAGGATTGTGCAGAAACTAACCCTGTGTATCACAAAAAACTTGATTTGATTGAAAGTTTGACAGATCTAGATTATATGACCGTTAAAGACTGTTCAACTCAAGCTTGGAAAACAATTACGGTGCATTTCATAAAAACTTTGCCGGTTTTTAATGTTTACAGCCCCGGTAAAACAAAGTCACCTCAATACAGCTCCCCCCTGATTTTCTCGACGATTGCTTTGGCGCGCTTTTACTAATTTATGTGACGTCATCTAAATAGTTATTTAGTTAACTAAGTTTTTCACAGTTTGACTAAAATCACTCTATGAGTTATTGGAAGACCC